TCCTACTGTAAGCAAAGAAACTTTGATAGTGGAAACCAGCCTTTATGTAGATCACCCTGTGGAAATCAGCCTCAGTTGACAGGGTTAGCGTGGGTAAATAAAGTTTTTCTATCTATCTAGCACCATGGACAATGCGGGTTATGTGAGTTTTTAAGAAGTAGTTCAATTTTTGTTTGTGAAAAGGACTTACTGAGAAACTACAAGTGACCTCTCTGGAATGGTTAAAGAAATGTAAGGACAATGGCTTGTAACTGTTATCTGATGCTTCATACAGGATCTGTACATTCACATTAGACTTGAGCTTAAACGTTACTCCTATATAATCACAAAATAAAATGACTTGTTTCAGCAAATCCTAAAGAAAGCTAAAGTTAACCCAAAGACCAAACTGAAACCCTACATTTCATGATAAGGAATCTGATTTCTTTCCTTTCCGGAATGGCTAATCTAGGCCTGTCTTGTGGTGAGGGCGGGGGGGGGGGGCAAGGGCTCATCTCTGCTACCACCAATGATCATACCAAAAAATGTCATAAATCAAAACTACTATCATGCACCAATGATGCTGACTTTTTCTGGGGAGTGGAGGAGCTGACTTTCTGAGGGGAATAACTCCCCACCACAGGAGGGCGTGCAAAGGTAAGAACCTGGGTACGAGGTTGCCCACCACCTTCAAAAATAATTTTCATGTGAAAATTCAACAGGTTTATATTTCAAGACTGTAGTCATTGTGTAATAACATATTGTTAAAAATTTTAATACGAGTCTTTGCTCAAAATCTCTACCACAAAGAATGATTATGTAACGAAAATCCAACCTTCTTGAACTCCTTTGAGTTTAATTAAGCATGTTAACCATAATTGTTGACTGAAGGTAGATAGATAACCAGAGTCTACCTTGAGCATAGTAGTCTAAAAATTAAAACAAGTTTGAAGAGCACACATATATGATTACCCATATACCTACTGGCATCACCAATATAGTACCATACATATTTAAAGCTTGACAACTGGACTATGTAGCTCAGTTGGTTAGAAGAAGGCACTGCAATCACAGGGCTGGAGGTTTGATTCCTAGAGCCCATAGTTGCATTTTTCTCAACTGCTCCTGATTATGTCTAAACAGGTGTAAAGGCCCACTTCCACTCTTGAAAGGTAATTTTCCACAGAACAGAAAATTTTCCAAAAATATCATTGGAACTTTTCACAAAAAATTTGTGTTGACCAATCACATTACAAAATTTTATTTCTGTGGAAAGCTTTCCTGAGTGGAAATGGGGCCTTAAAATTTAGACCTGCATCTTCATCCACAAAAAACCTTCAATATTTAAAACTTACTGCAAGGCTTTTATTTGCCTGTAAAAGAGCTTTCATTGATTGTGCTTCAGAAGTAATAACAGAAGGGCCTATAAAAAGTGTACAGAAATAATTTATCCCAGAGATTTCCTTAGTACAGAAATTACTCGGGCACACTGGTCAGTGATGACATTCGAGCTCTCTTGGGTATGTGAGATTCAAGGCAGACCCCTAAAACTATGGTCCTTTATTCAGTGTCTCAAATGACCAGGACTCTGCTTGCCAGTAATAGAGTAGCCTGCGAACAGGCTCTTGAATTGAATTAGAGCCTGCCGGTTTAGTCAATAAAAATACGTTTGTGCCCCATCACTATTTATAGTGTTGTCAATCAAATGTAAAATACAATGTAACAAATTAATACAGACACACCTTATGTAATAGCCTGCGAATATATGTAAACAAAACGCATATCTCGATTTCAACGCATGATTGTTTACAACATTAAAAGCATTTGTCTTTCTTTCAAACAACCCTGAAATTCCCTGAAGTAGCAATAGTAAGTGAATTCACATAAACACCGCAACGACTTGAGTTTGAACAACTACGGCGTACTAGAATGCTCAAGAATGCAAATTATAGTCGCCTTTGTCTTAGAGTAAAGATGCTATTGTTGATATAAGAACGTTGCCGTTGTATTTGCCAAACCTCTTATACAGCAAAAACATCGTTTCCGTCTAGAATTTGTTAAGAACTTTTGACTGCCCACCCTTTACTGTAACTTTAAACAAATATTTAGTTTTCTATACAACTCGTCGCCATAGAACGATATTTTTTATTTGAATCTTTTGTTGTGTAAATTTAATTACCTTTTATGGCAGTATAATGTAGTTAATTCAATTTCAACCAATGGGAACCCTGCGTTGTTCTAAGCAACGCACAGACGCGTTTTTATTATTAGGCCTGCAGGCTCTCTCTCAAATTTCAAAGAGAGTTCAAAGAGAGCCTGTTCGCAGGCTAGTAATAGAGATTCCCTTCAAATGCTCAACTTATGTTTTATGATCAAAATGGATTTGAGAGGTGGATTCAAGTTAACCTAGCATGCAAGTTCAGGTTTTCGGGGGG